TAAGCCGTCCCAAGACCCGGTTGTCACTGAACCGGCGCTTGACTTGTCTGCTCCTGACAGCTCCACCCATCAACCGCCACCTAAACTGGCTTCTGATATTCCGGTGCCAACCTCTGATCTGCCTGCCGAAGATGTTATCCACAACTCTGATAACCCGGAAGCTCCTAGCCCGGCCAAGACGACTGACCCGGAAGTTGAATTTCTGAAAAGTCAATTTGTTGAACCGGGGCGGCCTACTGTTCTTGCCCAATGCACTGCCAAGGAAGAATTTGCCCAACGTCGAAAAGCCAAGCAGGACATCACTGACTATACTCACTTAAGCATTGGTGATATAGTCTCGGGCTATCTGAATCAAGTGCATAATAGTCGTGACCTGGAAATTGACATGGTGAAACAAATACAACACAAATCTGAGGTATAACTTATGCTATTTTCCTGAATCTTACTTACTGTACCAGCCCCAAGTCTATTGCTTATGAATACATATGTTGTAGACTTACAAATCTACTCACTATTTGTTTGTCCGGTTTAAAGAGAATATATTTAACCCGGTGATAGCATGATGCTTTGAACTTGCGTTACACATTAGCCCCCAAGTGTCAAGTATCTTTACTTGTAAAGTGCTTGAGACTTAATATGTATGACTCAGTAGGATAGGTTAAAAATTCTTTAAGCATACATTAGCCCCCAAGTGCCAAATATCTTTACTTGTAAAATGTTTGGGACTTGAATGTTACCTTACCATGATTCTTACCATAACCTGGTATCAATACAGGCCACCATAAGTCAATTTGAGTCGGAGCTTGCTGACCTGAAGAGCCGGCTGACAACTCAAGAGCTTGAAACTCAGAAAGCCAACTCCAAGTTTGAATTCAGCGTCTCTGAACAAGAGAAGTTGACGCAAAATTTTGAGTCAGAGAAGAAAATCTGGGCTGATGAGAAGACTTCACTGGTGACTCGGGCCGAGACGGCAGAAACAGCTCTTGCAGAGGCAACAACTGAGTTATCTGACTTGAAACGACAGATATCCCAAATGGTCTCAGCCATCTTCGGTAAGTTACTATGCAAAACCTCAAGCATTGTAATCTTCCAATGACTATTGTAATAGTTACCTCCGGCTCATTGTTATGCTTGTGAACATACAGGCCCTAGGAGTACCAACCTCAAGCAAAACATGCTGATCAAGCTTAAGGCGGTTTACACCTTAGTGGAACAGCTGTACTCCGGGTCACAACGTGCCTTGGCCGTTGTGGCCTTATCAAATACCACTCCCCACCTCCTACAAGATGTGCTGAAGCATCTCGCAGTGCTGCCTCAACGAATTCAGGATTTAAGGCGGGCATCTTCAAGAGCCGGAGCTGTGGCCGCATTAAGCCGGGCAAAGGCATGGATGCTAGAGCTTGACTTGGCTGACCTTTCTCTTGGATATCCAAGCCTGAAGGAGGATGGTACTGCATTTAATGATCAAGATTTCACCGCCTGTGTCAAAGTCGTACGTCCCTTGGCTACCCTTATTGGGAACGATACTGATCTTACTAAGTATTCGCCGGGCTATGATAGCGAGAACCGGAGAATTCCAAACATTCCATATGACCAAGTCAGCCTGATCCCTCCAACGCGCAAGCATACCTTTGCCCCTGAAGTGGACTCGACCAATTTAATAGATGATGAGGCTGAGTTTGAAGCCTTGAGTGGCATTGACTGGGCCTCGTACACCTTCCAGGACAAAGCAACCGACGGAGAGGCGGAGAAGGATAACCCGGAGTCTTCAAGCCCGCCGAAGGAATGAACCGCCAGGCGTTTTATAACTTTGCAAAAACAATGCTTCACTTATTCAGACTCGGGGAGTCTTGTAATAGGATAGAAAAAACCTCTCAATGTTTGTCATGCCTTCGCTCATGTTTATAGTGCTTACTACTTTCGTAAGTCGCCATCACTATATTTTTCTGGCTTACGTTGACCGTTTATTTCCTTGATGTTTTTAACTTGCTTTACCTTATCCTGCGATCTCTTTGAGAAATGTGAACAAATTTATGAAATGGAAGAACATTTTTCTAAAATTTCAAAAAAATCATTTCTTGAAATCCTGAACATATTTTGCAAAATCAAGAACATTTTATAACACCCATACATTTTTTGAAAATTTTGGACGAAAGCATTTGCAACATTCTTATGAAAACAAGAACATTTTCTAAAAATCACGAACAATTTTTTAAAATTATGAACATTTTTAAAAATCACGAACATTTTTCGAAATTATTATTTTTTTAGAAAACAACCTTTTTTAAAAAAATTTGAACATTTTTCTAAATTTGAGAACAATTTTCGAACATCAACTTAGTTTAAAAAAGATGAAATAACCTTGAAAACGAAAAAAGAAACAGAAAACAAAAAAAAAGAAAAAAAGGAAAGGGAACAGAAAAAAACTCAGAAAAACCAATAAAAGAAAAAAAAACGGTTCAATGAACCCTTCTAGAAGGTTTCCAAAACCGGCTGGTAGTGGCAGTTGTTCGCGCAAAAACTGGGCCCGCTCTTTGCGTGGCTGCTCGGTCGGTCGCATGTGCGAAGCGCCGGCAGTTTGACGCAAAGAACGTCAAATATGATATTCCTTTTAAACTATGGTATTAAGTCAATATTTTAGAAACAAACTTTAAAAAATTACAAAGTTAAGTAAAAAGAAATGGAGAGGGTTAAAAAATGGAGAGGCAAAAAAAAAAGAACGAGTGGAGCCGGTTGGCTGAGCGTGGGGCTGGAATATATAGGCATCCGACCCTCGTTTGTTTGTTATAGAAACCCTAGCTTAAGCGGCGGCGGCGAGTATACCACACGCG